ACCAGAACGACAGATAGAGGTTTAATGAGAGAGGATATGAGAGAAAATAGGAACAAAGAAACTAATTAACTATTTCTGGACCTTTATACTTCAAAGTGAATTGGAGTTTGAGACACTGAGAGAGCGGTCATTATTGTATTAACATCACAAGGATAATACCTACAACACAAGAAATGAAAGTAGAATAATTAATATATTTTACACACAAAAACAGAATAAAGCAGTGTGCATAACGAGAGCGAAAAGTGGCATTGATATAACGCACTTAAATTTAAAGTATAATGGCACAGAAAAAGAATGACGTAATACCGTTTTAATAGCACCACAACGTATCTAAAAAAAAAATATAGACAACAACCCTTAATATTCGTGCGAAGAGCTGACATACACTAGTTTTTTACATGACGAGCGTTAGGGTAATTCACATACACGAGCCGGAGCACAATCCGTACACATAATACTGAATATTAGAACACCAGTTATGGCGAAGCTGCCTATTCATTACCCGGTAAAAACTGTCTACACTCCAACATGGGAGAATGTCATGGCAGTCTATGACGTTCACAAAGAAGACTCTTCTAGAATTAACCTACCTTGTCAGAAGCTACATGATATCCTAACACGTTCCCACTGCTTTCTGATATTCGTGGTGAAGTCGCACCCATCATAATAAAATATATTTACAGTCACTACACACGACAACAGCACACAAGATAAAAAAGTGAGAGGAGACTGGAACAGGTGTTCGGGATGGGTTGTAAGTAGAGCACTTATATTGGTTTCCCCGGCCGCAATACGCAGAGAGCAAGGATCACCGTCAATTTGTATCGATCAAATGTTCTATATAGCAACTCCAACCTTCACAATCGTGATCTGAAAATGGCTACATCTTCCTTGATCCTGTCTGATCAAGTTGAAAAAATTTATATCCTACACACAATGGCAAACGTATTCTGTTCTGCTCGGATTGTATGCAGCACAGTGTGTTTTTTAAGACAATTGCATATGCACACATGCAGCACACATAACTAACACGTGGTGATGTAAGCCCCTACTTCAGCACTTACTCTGCTCAAACACACATGCGTCAAAGGTCAATAGATCCAATTAGCCAATAGATCGTGACAATATGCAGAGCCCAAATGTAGAATGTGTTGTGTGTGGATAGATAGAGGAGTAATGACACAGTGAGAGGCATACTCCTCCCGAGGAATAGAGAACTCTGAGTCACACAATTCATTCGCTATCGCTATCCATCACACACGAGCGACGAGCGAGCGACACATATCTACACATTCACGAGCGAGCGAGCGTCATCAACATCTTCTAATGTGCTCGAGTGGTGTGACGCACACGAAGATATAGTGTTACGATGTAAGTGTATTATATGATTTATGTTTGTAATATTGTAGTGTGTGTTATGTGTATTAATAATAATATAATAGATAATAAATATTACGATGTATGATAGTAGTGTGTTGATTAATGTGTGTTGCATAAAATTACTTTTATATATTATGTGAGAGTTGTAAGTATAGATTAGTTAATTAATTAATAATAAATGTGTGTGGTGCGTGGTGTGTGTATATATATATAATAATAATATATATTATAATATGGTGTATGTGTGCGTGTGTGTGGATGTGTGTATATATAGTATATTGACACATACACTACAACACACACACACACACACACACACACACACACACACACACACAAACACATATATATAGATATATGTGGTATTGTAGTATATAGCTGATAATGGTGGTAGTATGACATAGAGTTATAATTAAGATAAGTATAAAGTGATGGGATGAGTATGTAGGAGTATAGTAGTAGATAATAGATAGATAGATAGATATATAGAATAGATATATATTTGGGTTTCAGTAGTTAGGTATTGAGTGTGTGTGTTAATATAAAAATATAGTAGTGTTAGTTACATAGCAATATAATATGATGTGTATAAATATATATATAAATTAAATATTAATTAATATTATATATATATATATAAATATATTAATATATGAAAATACACATCTATAAATGTATGATAACATCATATAATACTGTATGATATTAATATATATATTAAAATATATTATATAATAAATAATATTAAAATATATAATATGTATTATATTTAATAAACATATATATATATAAAACTTATATAATAACATATTTATAACACATTATACATACATATAATATATTTAATTAAAATCAAAAAAAAGTGAATAGATAACGTTTGGTAGTTAGTAATGTATATATATATATATATTATATAAATGTGTTGGATGTATGGCGTATAACTAATATCCACAATACAATATGATATATGATGTTAGTGTGTAAATTTAAATGTATAATAATATAATGTGTGTGTAGTGTAATACACATATATATGTAAATATATTATGTTACGATATTAAGTGATGTGTAGCTGTTGTTTATGTGAGTGTGTGTCTTAGTAGCTGCTTAATATATCCTGTGTGTCTGTGTAAATAATATGCACTATTTATATATACTATACTAAACACAAATATACACTAAACAATATAAAATTAGCATTAGTCAAACTATGAACGCCACTGATAATAATATATAATCAAAATAAAAATAAAAAAAAACGGCACTATTCACTTACTATAGTGATAGACAGTCCACTCCCATACAAGACCCCATCTTTTAGATCTATCTGGAATAAAGTTTGAAAGACACGATTATTGTAGTAATAACAGAGTCGGATATGTACAATATATCAAGGTACGATAGACGAATACATAGTCAATCGTATTACACGCGCCTTATATAATATGTCGATAGAGTATTACTGACCTCCCTCATTATATATATACCACATTCACTCTATATTACTTTATTACTATCTATATATTAAAGAGCAAGAGTCCGAGTAAACAGAATAGACGACGAGCGCCTGCTTATTTTATATTGCCCACGTTGTAAGACTTGCTGTCTGTGTCGCTTCGCGTGGCAAGAACCAGTGTCAATCCACGGCGCGAGTATTACTATTTAACTATTGGATGCAATGCGTCAATGCTTGCGGCGAGCTCGAAAGTGCCCTTAACTGCCTGTCTTGTTGTATTCATTTATGTGAAATGTTTGATTATCTATATATGTCGGTTGCTCGGTTAAATTTTTTTTCTTGTTTTTATAAACAATGCGCTTGGTATCCGAGTGGTGCCTAGCTTATGTTATCCTAATGAGACTCTAGTCATATTGTGAGGTGAGTTCTATGGTCTTTGGCTCGCTAATAAATATCACGCGACTGCGCGCGCGCGCGTGGCGTATGCTTTATAACACACACACACACACAACACCACACCACACATCTGATCCACACACTCAACACACATCCACACACTCACTCCACACACACATCTCTAGACTCTCCATTTGTTGCTTCTTCGTCTCTCTCCACACACAACACACACACACTCACACCCTACACACCATCATCCACACATCACACACCATCTCTCACATCATCTCCACACACACACAAAACACTACACACCCACCGTCCTCTCTCTCTATCTATCTCTCTCTACTATTACAACACATTTCCACGCTCACTCTTCGTTGTCATGCATAGGATATATATTTAATATATATACTATTACTACATATATCTAACAGTTATACTATATCAATATATCTATACTGTAATATAAAAATATAGTAGAGATAGATAGATATAGATTATATTACATATCTCCCGATCTCTAGTTTTCGATGATTTTCCTCTTAATATACAATTTTCTTTCTTTCCATAGTGGTGTTATAAGAACTCTAGACTGATGTTATAACTAAGTTGGATGAAGCAAGTATAGCTACTTGTTTTGGCATGATTATGTATGATTTTATGTATATATATATATATATATATATATATATATATATATATATACATATATATACATATATATATATATATATATATATATATATATATATATGTGTGTGTGTGTGTGTGTGTGTGTGTGTGGTGTGTGTGTGTGTGTGTGTGTGTGTGTGTGTGTGTGTGTGTGTGCTTGTATGTATGCACACACACACACACACACACACACACACACACACACACACACACACACACACACACACACACACACACACACACACACACATACACACACACACACACATATATATATAATATATATATATATATATATATATATATATATATATATATATATGTGTGTGTGTGTGTGTACGTACGTATGTATGCATGGATGCATGTATGTATGGATGCATGTATGTATGGATGCATGTATGTATGTATGTATGTACGTATATGTATGTATTGTGTATATATGTATATGTATATATATGTATGTATAAATATATATATATATATATATATATATATATTATATATAATATACATATATATATATATATGTATATCCTATATATATATATATATATATATATACCATGTGTGTATGTGTGATTATGAGTGTGTGTGTGTGTGTGTATGTGTGTGTGTGTGTGTGTGGTGTGTGTGTGTGTGTGTGTGTGTGTGTGTGTGTGTGTGTGTGTGTGTGTGTGTGTGTGTGTGTGTGTGTGTGTGTGTGTGTGTGTGTGTGTGTGTGTTGTGCATGTATGTGCATGTATGTATGTATGTATGTATGTATGTGTATATATACATATACATATAAACATGTGTCATATATATATACAAATATGCATATGTATGTATGTTGATGCATGTATGTGTGTGTGTGTGTGTGTGTGTGTGTGTGTGTGTGTGTGTGTGTGTGTGTGTGTGTGTGTGTGTGTGTGTGTGGTGTGTGTGGTGTGTGTTGTGTGTGTCTGTGTGTCTGTATGTTACACATTTACAGACACACATATAGATTTATATAGATTGGTAAAGTTTCTTGTTTGCTTTTGACTGCACGTCGAGTTCCTCAACACCAAAACGGGCAAGTTTCCTCGTGGAAACCCCTCCCCTCCCCCCTCCCCGCCCCTCTCAACGCCTCAGCCAGATCGCGATAGCTCCCACAAAACAAGACCTCACACCACTAATATTAATAGTATAAAAAATCTATATAAACAACTTATCTATCTTCCACGCCAGCAGGAGAAATCAACAGCGGTAGATAAGAGCAGGAGGAAGGGGAGGTAAACGTAACAGCAGCCAGTATAAGAAGGGGCCGTCCCTGAGCTGCGCAGTTGAGTGCTCCGGGTCACCAGTGTGTGGACGAGTACCTTCAAGCGAACCTCTGGAAATCCTCTCCTTTGGACCTTTTCCATCAACTTCATTCACCTCACGTCATCTTCACGAATCCAGAAGACGATCAAAATGGCCAGCCAAGTCCGCCAGAACTACCATGAGGACTGTGAAGCCTCCATTAACAAGCAAATTAACATGGAACTCTATGCGAGCTACGTTTACCTTTCTATGGTGAGTCGATATTGCTTCGGGATATTATCTGTGCCGCCTTTCTCTCCTGGGCGTTCTAGGAAGATTCTATGGTGGATGATTCTTTGTTTGAATAATTTAGGTATGATTCGTATTATGATGTGTTTCGAAATAGGAATAGGGGGAGGAAAATGTGTAGGAAATATGCAATAAGAAATACGCGACTCGGCAACCGACTGTAATGGTTGCGTGGACCGGGTCTTCTACCTGGAAAATTTTACTTATTTCAAATTCTCTCCCATGAAGATCGTTATAAATGTCGTTACGTCTATATATTGGTTATATTAATTGAATTTGTGAAGGGGTCGCAACTTTTGTTATCATAGTGCATGTTGCTGGATATTGCAAAAAATATGTGCAGTCATTCCAGGCAGAAGTCCGGATTCCTTTGCAAAATTCCTCATTTTTTGTTTGGCTTAAATGCTGTTTCCAGGATACCATTTTGATATCTTTATAGGTAAGAATATAAAATCAAGGCTTTAGAATTTAAGTAACTCCAATGTTGTAGATGTAAATTTTAATAAGGAAATTCATTATTGCAAGCATGAAGGACAAACAATGTCACTGAGGAATGTGCAAGACACTGCCCTATGAGCCATCTTGGAAAAAAAAGGTTTACATTTTTATTCTTTCTAAAACGATAATTAGATTGTTTTTGACACAATCAAGTTTTTAGTTGTAACCGGTGATAGGTAATAAGAAGTTTTGTTCAAAAATATTAAAACAAGTTATCTAATTATAGAAGGAATCAATCTTTCATTTTAAAATTTATATATGATATGTCTGTGAAGTTACAACATTATCAAGGTCTTAATGATTTTATAATACAATTTTTTCTGAGGGAGGGCAGCACTTTATAGATTGTCCATCTTGTGTAATATGGAGTTTTGTAAGACAAACAGACGAATGATTACAAGAAGATTGTAAGGTTGAGTGAATGGGCATTGTAGTCGTGTGCTCAAGAAATGAATTGGCCTAAAAAGATTGTTAGTTGTGTTTCATTACAAGTTAAAGCTGCTTTTACTTTAAAATGGAAGTATCAAGGATAATTAAATTTGTCTGAAATTTTAAGACCTTAAGAACTGAGTAAAAGAATTGAACCAAGCACTAAAAAAAAAGTAACATTATTATGCTGTCTGTTGTTCTTGAGCAGAAATAACGAGACATCTATTTCAGGCTTACTACTTCGAACGTGATGATGTAGCTCTACCTGGATTTGCCAAGTTCTTCAAGGACTCGAGCGATGAGGAAAGGGAACATGCCCAGATTTTCATGAAGGTAAGCAAAATAGTTGTGCACAGATCAGGAAAGTTTCATGATATTTGAAGTTGATGCATGCAAATAGTTGTTTGAATAAGTGCACAAAATGTAAAGAATGCCTGAGATCTATATACAGCCAACAAAGTAGAGAAATGATAATCAGGAAGTATCAGATATCAGGAAGTGACGAAAACATAAAAGTTGGATTTTAAAATGCTGAAACTTTCTTAAGCCATCAGCAAATTTGACACTACCATTACCTCTGTTGATAAATCTGGGTTACTCTACTATTGATCATGCAAAGCTTTGTGAAAATACTTTCTTTTCTGTGATTTTTTTGTAGCCTGTTGAACCGCAGCTTGCCAATGTGTGAACTAATAGTTGAACATTCGTTTCTGAAACCTTTTTAGAAATTAGTATAGCTTTTGTTTGGGTATGAAATTAGTGGCTCGCACCTTGGCAGAGCTGAGTAGAATATTGGGAGTGGGGGGATTGTACAATACTATTTGCATACAAAGACAACTTGTTTCATAGAGAATACATATTACAGACCTATATATGTGTTACACTGAACTTTTCATTTTTGGTCCTAATTGCAATTTGCTTATCATATATCAATATACCTCCTAGTTTGGTGATTCTAATTCATCGTCCCTCCCCATCCCTTGTTTCCTCTTCCTCTCCCTCTTCGTTCCCATCCTTTATTTCATCTTCCTCGTCTCCGTCCCCATTCCTTATTGCATCTTCTTCTCCGTCCCTATCCCTTAATTCATCTTCTG